CCCGTAACTCCGTTCTGAAAATGAGGCGTGAAATTTAATGGAGGTGGGAAATTCCTCCCAGAAAATTATTATCCAAACTTCATGCAGAAGAGAAAAAAATAATCAAAAACGTCAAATTTAGAGCGAAAATCCAAAAAAAGCCTTGAAAAATTTTTTTTCTATATTCACGTATTATTTTTTTAGAAAAAAACCATGCTTTTCAAAAAAATTATTTATCAAAAAAATTTCAATCCAATTCATCTAGAACTGTCAAAAAGTCGAAACTAACCTATCGAAATCTCAATTTTCGAACAGAAAGAATTGAAAAAAATAATTTATTTGAAGACTTTTTTTCTGAATTGGTTCAACTCCTCACTTCACATAACAAAAAACCATGCAGATGTTCCCAGCGAAAAAAATCGCATGCTGAATTTTTTTTCTTCTTCTTGCAGGTTTCAGTATTGCGCAATGATCCACCGCGCAGATATTTCAGAGACATCTTCGTTTTTTTTTTCACAGCTAATTTTCGAACTGTTACCCCATGTCTATCATTCTTCAATGTCTCTCAGTTTTCTTTAAAAAATAGTTTTCATTGTAAAAATGCTCTAGACAAACTCAAGTGATCACTTGAGGGGTTCTGCGAGCGACAAGAAACTAGTAGCTCCTTAAGTGGTGAAACAACTTTTTTACAACTCAGAAAGCTTGGTTTTTCATTCAACTTCTCCCTTCTTCGATTTTAAAAAACTAAAAGGCGTCTTTTAATTAATTCAGTGGTTTGTATTAAAGATTTTCTTGAAAATAACTCCTAGAGTGGTTACTAACTTCATTTGGAAGCTTTTATTTTCGAGAACCGGTTAAATTTTTTTTTTTGCAAGCTGTCGGAAACACAACACTCTAGCTCAAGTTGCTACTGTAAAACTATTCTTCCAAGTGGTTCTTCAAGGGAGGAACCTAGTGGTCACTTAAGGGGACTTCTTAAAAAAGATTTGAATGGGTTTTATAAGATCTCAGTCGTTCTTTTTGTTTTCTATGCATATGAATTCGAATTTCCCTCAAGTGACTCCTCCCATTATTCGTCTCAATTGGGAATTTTGAAAAAAATCGATCGAACTCAAATTTCTTGCCATTCCTGCACCTCCTTCCACTTGGCCGCCCCTCAACTTGTTTTTTTCATGCTTCAATTTCAGTGCAGTTATGAATTATGAATCATCATAATTAGAGGTCTAATTTCTATACGACCGCACCTATTTAATTGCGAATTTCATTAATCAGTCCCTCATTAGTTCGATTAAAAGGAGGAAAAGCGGGGAAAAGGGTAGTTTTACTTCAGTTTCTCTTCCTTATTTTCCTTTTTTCTCTGAATTTCTCTCCACTTCTACAACATTTATGAAGATTAAAAATTTTTTTTTGATCAAATGTTGATTGAAATTATTTATATTGAAGCTTCTTATAAAATAAACGAGCGTCAAAGATTTTTACCGATGAAAAAATTTTGGAAAAGTTGAAGTTCCACCAAAAATATATCTTTTGCCAAACCACTTGAGTGATCCCTTTAATCTCCCTCATTATGAAAACTATTAATCTCCCCCTTAAGTAGCCACTTCAGATCTTCAGAAAAAACAAAAATCATAGAATTTGTAGGATATTTGGATTACTCTTTGAGCCGCCTTTGGTCTCAATATATCAGTTGCCTTAAGTGGCCACTTTATTCAACTCTTTCTCTGACATACACTATTTTGTCGTTTTCTCGCAGCTAGATAGCGACGAAATAGTGTGTGTCAGAGAAAGAGTTGTGAGGCTTTGTTAGCGCTCCATGTCAAAGAAAACGTTGATCTCTTAACAAGCCAAAAAAAAAATCAAAAAAATAGCCATGGAGCACAGTTTCATGCATATTTCCAGCCATTTTCATTTTTCTCTCAAGCTTATAACGGTCATCTTTCTACACTTCTTTTGTCCGCAACTTACCCTAATTTTTCAAAAGGAGAATGGGAAAGGTTCCACCAAACAGCCCCCAAGTCCTCAAACTTGTCATAACAACCAGTGGCGGCTCGTAAAATATCGGCCCCTCTGAGACGCGACCGCACCTCCGGAAACACTTTTCGGCGCAAAAACGTATATAATTCGACACCTACATGTACCTACTTCCTGTCACCTGTGATAATAACAAGATAACTGTAATATGGCGTAAAAAAATATACTAAATCTCAATTTTTCTTAGAAAATTTCCAACTTGAGGTCTTTCCCTTCCTAATGATGCTTCGAGGGAGAATAGAGGAAGTCTTCTCGGCCATGAAAATCTCCTTTCTTGTCATTATTTTACCTATCCTTTGAATGTTCTGACCTGTCTGCACCCTCTTTTCCCTCCTCACAGAGGTCAGAGAAGCAGGAAATCAGCAAGAATGAGCATGAAATTCTTGGTCGGAGAAATATAATTAATAAGAATGAACTTGGTATTGACAGTTTGGACATAGTCTGTTCAAATGACGTCATTCAAAAAGGCTCTGTGGATGGACCGTTCTCTGATTGGTTTATCACGCCATTAGGGGCGGAGCTTGAGCGATAATTTGACATTCATAATCTGAACAGACTATATAAAAAAATAAATAGGAGATGTTCCGAAAACTGTCTGATTTCTCTGTACCCTCCTTACACTCGGCGAAGATCTCAATTTTCTATGAATTTTTCTATTTGGGCCTGCCAATTTTCAGTTCGAGCCCAACTTGGAAAAATCTAACTTCTCTACGTCTCTGGTTCTCAAGTTTCTCTGACCTCACGGTTGAGAAAAAAAAGCGGACAGGTCAGAATTTTTCAAGCGTATCAATGGAAAAACTTGGAAAAAAAAATCATTTTTGTTTTTGAAAAGCCTGATTCTATTTAAATTGGTTTATCCGGTAATCTCCTAATTTTTTTTCATTTTAATGAAAAAAATAAAAATCGATTCGTCTTAAATTTAAATTCTACATGTCTTATTGCAGCTGCCAAGTGATAAATACTTCGAATTTTGAATAAATCTTTTCTGTTTCCGACAAGCTTAATAGTTAAATTTTTCCAGGTTTTCGCTTATTTTTACGATGTAAAGCAATATTAATTATTCTTTCTAAAAAAATTATATCGAATGAAAAAAACGGGTTATAAAATACATTTTCGCAAGGTTCAACTTGTTTCGACCTCGAAATTGAACTTGAAGGACCCGAAATATTGAAAAAAACAGACTAAAAATCATCGATCAGCTTCCAAAAAAATTCTAAAAAAATCTTTACTCGAAAAATTCAAAGATTTGGCCTTTTTTTAAGACTGTCAATTTTCAAGCAGAAAAAATCTCGTTTTCCTTTTTTTCTGTCCAGTTTGCAGTTTTCCACGTTGACTGACTTAGAAACTGTTCCTATGAATTTTAAAAAAATAAGGTGGTGATCAAAAAAAAAATTCCACAGTCCAAAATGTAACTTTCTTCAACTTGATCATTGAAAAAATGAAAAAATCACGTCAAAATTATTTTTTTTTCATATTTTTCTACTCACTTCGCTTTCAAATCTTGACTCAAAAAATTGGGAAAAACCAGAAAATTTCCCTTCACACTTTCTCAACTAATAACCTCGACTAAAACGTCAAAAATCCATTCAAAACCAGATTCAATAAGCCCTAAAAGGGAGCTTAGTTTCTGGAGACAAGTCCCCGGAGATTTCCAACCATCTATCTCTATCTTTCTTAGTCTCCTTGGCCAAATATCCCCAGAAGCAGAAAGGCAGTGATTGGCTATAAGCCGAAAATGTCCTGTGGGCGTGGCTTAGCGTTCAAGGGATACGGTAGTCGAAGACCACGCCCCCACTTGTCCCACTCATTAGCCGATTATTTGTCGTCAGTTTCTTCCAGCGAATCTTCCTTCTACTTAATTACTGATTAGTGCTCTTTATTGCTCATATCAGAGATTGAAAATGTTCCATATCGACTCTTTAATTGGCAATAATAATAATAAGGTTTGTTGGTTTTTGAATTTTCCCTCCACGGTCATTTATTTCATGGTAATGAACCTAATAATCGAGTTTGAAACCTTTGATCAGCTTCTAATTATCTGAGAATAATTCTTAGAATTCGCTTTTTGATCTCTAAAAAAAGCAAATTTGACGCCCCTAAAAACTTCAGAAAAGGATTCTGAGTCCTTGAAAAGCTCGTAAAGTCTACTGAAACTTGTATAAGCTTCTGAGTTTCTTATAAGACCCTGAAGCTCTTTGATAACTACTTTTTTAAATCAAAAACTACCTCCTTTTTTTAGAAATCGTTCACGGGAACCCAAAGTTTCAAAGTTGATTAAAATGAATATTTAAGAAAAATAAAACTTTCAGGAAAAAAATTCTGGAACTTAACTTTCCCGGAAGATTATCCAACCTCTCAAGTTCCAAGGAAAAATTTTTTTGAGGCAGCATTTTTTTTTAACAAAGCGAATAAATAACAAGCTGCTAACTTACTGAGATAAATCGTGAAGTGTGAATATAATTTTGGAAGTGAAAAAGATGATCCAGAAGTCAAAATAACGGTAAGCTCATTCTTAGTACCTCTGGAGAGGAAAAATGAATCGCAAAAAAAAAAAAATCGAAATACACGAGAGGCTCGTTTTATATTCACTTTCTTTTTCTTTTTCTGATAGTAGGTCTTATTATTCTGATATATCTTCTTGAAGAGAGTTTTTTAAAGTTCGTTTATGAGATTTAAAAGTGTGTTAAAGTCCTGAAAAGTTGAAAATTACACATTTCATTCTCCACATTTCCAATAACTACATCTCTAAATATCAGCTTTCTATGACCTCCTGGTGAGTGAGAGAGAGAGTGCAGACAGGTCAGAAAGTTTAAAATCGCTGAGAATGAAATAATCAAGGAATTCTCTACCTATATCGTAAGAGTCCAATGGAATCAGGTAAAAAAAAAAACAGCGCAATCTATGATCATCTCGAAACAGTAATCCTGTCAAAAAAGCGCACCTTTTTTTTTCAGCTCGGCTCCCCAGTTCGTCAACCAACGCTGGTCGAAATGGTCGAGTCGCACTCCCAGGCGACAGCCAGCAAGCCTTTCGGGAGCATTTCGCCAAAGTTCGAGGACCGTGACGACCTTCAGATGCCAGGTCGACATCATCCCTATGGTTGGTTTTCATTTATTCAATTTCTAGTTTGTCACGTGTCACGTCTTGAAACTGTCTAACCTGTCTGCGCCCTTTTTTCTCTCGTCGGTAAAATCAGAGAATTTTGAAATTTGCATGGAAACTTGAGAGCGTCGGGGAGAAAAGAGAGGGTGCAGAAAGTTAGACTGCTTCAAGTTTTGAGGACTGAGGGGGTACTTGGGATTTTTGAAAATGGCAGTCCCAAATTTTTGAGCTTCAAAATTGGCAGTCCAAAATTTTTGAGCTTCAAATTTGGCAGTCCCAAAATTTCTGGTTTAAAATGGCAGTCCCAAACTTCTTAAAAATTGGCAGTCCCAACTTTTAGATCTTGAAATGGCAGTCCCAAATTTCGAGGTTTAAAATGGCAGTCCCAAATTTTTGAGCTTAAAATTTGGCAGTCCCAAATCTTACGAACAAAAATTGGCAGTCCCAAATTGCGAGCTCAAAAATGGCAGTCCCAAATTTCTCAAGGTTGAAAATGGCAGTCCCAAATTTCCTGGTTTAAAATGGCAGTCCCAAAATTTCGAGCTCAAATTGGCAGTCCCAAATTTTGAAGCTTAAAAATTGGCAGTCCCAATTTTTCGAGCTTAAATTGGCAGTCCCAAATTTCGAGGTAAAAATGGCAGTCCCAAGTTTCGAAGCTTAAAAATTGGCAGTCCCAAACTTTTCGAGATCCATAATCAATGGAAAGATTTTAAAACTTCCTCAAAATACTCCGAAAAAATTCATAAACTCAGCACCTGCGATCTTTCGATCATTTCCTCTTTGAAAATCGATCTAACTTTTCGGAAATCCAACAATTTTCCCGTACAAATTGGGCGTGGGAAGCGCAACGTTCATTTTGTTTTCCCAAAGTCGAAAAACGTAATTTCGGTGGCGAAATTTCCGTCCGATAAATCATTACAAATTTGTATCAACAATGCGTCACTTCTCATCATTAATTTCGTAATGAGAGAAAATATTATTCAAACATGTCAGAATTTCGAATCATTTCTCTCCTTTGAAGCGTCTACATTTTTTGTTGAAAAATTTTTTTTCTGTTTTTCATCATTATTATTGTTTATTGTCACGCTTTCATGGAGCTTTTTTCTGATGATCCATTTTTTTTTCTCTTAGTACCCTCTGAGTTTTTTTTTTCATATTCGTTCTTTTTTTCGAAAACGGGGGTGCATTTTTTCCTGGAGCACAGTTTCTCAAAACAAGACGGCCTCATTTCTTTGCTCTCAAGTATTTTTTCCATAGAAATAGTTGAAAAATGCATTTCTCCATAGGGCGAATTTCTTGCTTTAAAATAGCCTAGATTTATTCTCGGTCATGATCCAGTTCCTTAAAATTATAAAACTAAGAGGCTTGCTGAAAAATAATAAGAAAAACGCTTAAAAGTCAAAATTCTTCCTTATGTTCCAGTAAGGATCGAACTTCGATTGTAATAAATTGATTGAAAAACAAAATTTAGAGTTGGAAAACGATAATTGAATTTCATAAAGGTTGAATTAACGATAGAGTACACTAATTACCTTCAAAAGAGCCTAAACTTTATATCAATTTAATCTTATGATCTTGACTTTTAAGACCAGAATCTTTAAGTTTTCAGCCTCAAAATGGAGTTTCAGCTCAAAGTTCTCAATGGAGCATTCTTGCCACCTCAAAAAAGCCTCAAATTTACATCTATTTTTGTAGCTCGGAATTTTATGTTTCTAAATGTTAACTTCTCATTAAAAGTTTCCCAAAACTCAAAATTTCTCCTCATCTCACAGCTTAATCGACTACCGTAATCCTCTCTGGGAAAAAAAGTTGCGATTGCCTGTTGGCAGGTGAGGAGAATGAGGCAATAAACGGGCGCCCATTTTTGCTGTATGTGTTGTAAAACAACGGCGGCCGCCTTCTGTTTTTGTTTCGGCCCCCGCTCAACACAAAATTGGGAGTTTATGGCCACCGCAGATAAACGTGTACCTCCCCTGTCATTGTGTAAAACTATCGCCCGATCAGAGCTGATCTTGTCTCTTGCGAGCAAATTGATGAGCTGGACGAGAAAAATTGGAGCTGGAGAAGGGATGAGGCTTTTTTTTGGTGATAAATGTGCTCTTTTGATAATGTCTTTCTTCTTAAGTAATTATGAAGTACTCAGGAACTCCAGAGTGGTCCCTATAGGGGCAACTTTAAGGGCTCTTCACGAATCCCCCTAGGGAACACTTTACTAACACCTATAGGGGCCTCTAAAGCTTGCAAAAGTGGTCCCTCTAGGGAAAATGCTAGTCGATAATTGTTATGAACCCTAAGCGAAGAAGCATTTCCATGCAAAAAACTGAAAAAATAACCTTTTTTGAATAAGTTTGAATGACCCCTGTAGGGACCACTTAAACTTTAAGGGCTTAGGTGTGAGACCCTAAACCCCTGTAGCAACCATCTTGATTTTACCCCTTTAGGGACCACTTTTTCGGTCCCTATAGGGGCTGTTTTTCCCCTAACACCTATAGGAAGCACTCTAAAACCCCTGAAGAACCAATTGAGTCATGATAATTCGCAACAGAGCGACCTCGCTATCAAGAGAAATGGTTACTGTAGCGGTCCGAATCGTTTACGATCCCTAATTGTCGGCCTGAACAAAAGAAGGCGCGAAATCAGGTTCCCAAAGTGGTGGAGAAATCATTCCGAATTAGTTTTGTCGCGAAATTTTGAGGGTTACTGTAGGCCCATTTTAGTTTCGATCAGTTGAAAGAACTATGGTCAAACTACAGTATCCTCCTTAAAGAAACTACAGTAACCTTGTTAAATTAATGATTAGGTCCTCTAAAGTTCTCCTTAACCTAACGGTAACAAGGGGGATGAAAAAATCAGCTAAAATTCCTCCAATCTCCACCGTAACCCGCTTAATTTGTCCGGTGGAGCGCGATAATTGCGGGAAGAAAGAGCCGAGAAGCGTGTCTCGGAGACGATGAGCGATGGCTGAACAATTAGCCGATGAGCTGGAGGGTGCACCTAATTAAAGTGCACCTCGATTCAGCACGTGTCAGTGTGATTTAGGAGGTGTCCTCCTTAGCGAATTTATCACTTCTGCCTGCTGTTTTTTTCGGGAGGAAATCCTCATTATTCTTCTTCCTTTTTTTGGAAGAGGGCTTCTTGGCCTTTTGCTTGAGGAGAAGCTTATGGGGATACGGTGAACTGAGAAAAAGCTGAGGTTAAAGAAAAATGCTGACTTTGTTTTAAAAAAAGGTTCTTTTGTTCTAAAATTATATCAATCACTGTGGTTGAATGGCGGGAAAAAAGGCGAAAAAAGCCGCCAAGTTTGGAATATCTGCGCTCCATTGATAAAACTCAGGACTTGAAGTTGGTTCGGCCCTTGAACACTTCTGATTTAAAGATATGAAAAACTACTGATCAAAAAATGATAGCGATTCCCAAAACTTCTAACCTGGCCCAGTTTCTAACCTCAATCCAATCGCAATCAAACAAATTGCTCTCTCACTCATTCACTGAAGCGAAAAACAAAAAGAAAATGGAGAAATCGGTGGGTTTTTACAACCTGCCATATATGGGGTCTATCACGGTATAATTTTGGCCGCGGCGCCAAATTAGCGTGCCTTTTTACGGCCGCTTTTTAGTACCGTTCACCACTCACACACGCGTTTTGTTTGTTGCCAAGCAATGAATTTTTGATTTTATTAAGGGGAAAGCTGGGAAACCAAATAGCCTAATGAGATTTGGCCTATTTTGTTTTATAAATGATCATGAAAATGGCTGGAAAAAGCCATCAATAGTTGAATCTTTTGCGCTCCATTGATAATCATAGTCAGATTTTTCGTTAGCGAAAGTTTAGGTATAGGAAAAACTAGTAGAGGATTAGATCTTTCTCGATAATAAAAAAAATAAAAAAATAAATTTTCTAGGAACAGAGAAACAAAAGAAAAAAAACAAACTACCAGAAAAAAATTGCTTTTGCGCTCTAATGATGAGAAAAAAATCATCTGCTTCTCTTACTTTAAAACTTCTTCTAACAAAAAAAAAATATAAAGATCAAATAACAACAATTTTGAGAGAGTAAAGCTTCTAAAACCAAGATTTCCAGTCGAAATTTGTCAAGGAATTCAAAAAACACTCACAAACCAATTTCGATCGTTTTATGAACTCTTTTTCGGGATTTAGCAGGGACAAGGAAAAATTAACAATTTGTCAAATCGTTGTCGCGGGTTTCGTGACAGCTCCATGTGCGCGCAATGAATAGAGAGGTTAATTATCCCAATTTCCCGCTCAATTTTCACCGAAATTTCTTTTTCTTGTATAAGGGACTTAGGGGTCTTTGAGGAAGCGTCTAATAAATTCTAGAAAACCTCTATATTAAATTATAGAAAATCACTATCTTTCTGTTCCCCTTCTCAAGTTCAACCAAAAAATGCTCTAGCTTATAAAAAAGTGATTTTCAGACAACCGCGACGACGGCCAAATGCGACGCTACCGAACCGCCTTTAGTCGGGAGCAAATCGGGCGATTGGAACGGGAGTTTGCCAAGGAAAACTACGTGAGCAGGAAAACGCGTGGGGAACTCGCAGCGGAGCTCAATCTGCCCGAAGGAACTATTAAAGTGAGTTGGAAATCTCCCTATTATTGCCCAAGATTCTTGAGAAGCTCTCGAATATTTTTTATTAAAACTGATTTCACTCCTAAGGCTGCAGAATATATAAATCAAGCTTTATCTGAAATAAAAAAACCGACTTCACTACTTAGGAAAAGGTTCTAAGCTAGGATAATTGACCTCTCCTACCTTTAAAAAAATCAAAAAAAATCTTCTTTTGGGGCCATAACTAAAATGACATATGAATTAATAAAACCCCACTCGCACCACGATTTTCCACTGGGGATTTATGATTTCCTCGCTTGCTATCTGTCATTTTTTCCCGGCTCTTGGAGCATTTCGGAGCTCTGAGCATGACGACGCCACTGAGCACATCCTACTGTGGCTTCTCCGCCAATCATTTTCCCAGAACCTTCCTTTGGGGATTCCCGCGCGCTTCCAGAAAGTGTCGCAAAGCAGAAGAAGCATATCAGTGGGTGGTACCGTAGGCTTGAGAATCCGAGAAAGATTCTACTAGCTTTTTAGGCTTTTCAGGCAGAAGAATGGAGTATCACTCTCGAGATTATTTCTAACTTGAAACTCTAAAAAAAAGTTAGTAACTCCAAGGTGCTCTTCCAAAGCTTCGTAGAAAAAGATTAAGGAAATGGGAATTTTCAAGAGGAAAAACTGCATTTAATTGAAGAAAAGTAGATGAGGGTATAATTATTTGAATCAGCAAAAATTGAAATATAAAACTTTTCAGGCTCTACCTTACTGAAATTACTCAAAAATAGCCTTAGGAACAATGAAAAATGATATTTTTGGAGCGTAATAGATTTTAATAGACTGAAATGGAAAATGAGCTTCTCGTTCAAAAGTTTATTTTTAGCTACGAACTTTCGAGAAATTCAAGAAAAAGCTGTAGCTGAAAAGTTTGGGACTGCCAATTTTTAGTTCGTAAGATTTGGGACTGCCCTTTTAATTTCGTGTAATTTGGGACTGCCAATTTCTCGCTTTAAATTTTTGGGACTGCCAGTTTTTAGTTCGTAAGATTTGGGACTGCCATTTTCAGTTCGTAAGATTTGGGACTGCCAATTTTTAGTTCGTAAGATTTGGGACTGCCAATTTTTAGTTCGTAAGATTTGGGACTGCCCTTTTAATTTCGTGTAATTTGGGACTGCCAATTTCTCGCTTTAAATTTTTGGGACTGCCAGTTTTCAGTTCGTAAGATTTGGGACTGCCAATTTTTAGTTCGTAAGATTTGGGACTGCCAATTTTTAGTTCGTAAGATTTGGGACTGCCCTTTTAATTTCGTGTAATTTGGGACTGCCAATTTCTCGCTTTAAATTTTTGGGACTGCCAGTTTTTAGTTCGTAAGATTTGGGAATGCCAATTTTTAATATATCAAATTTGGGACTGCCATTTTTTGTTCGTAAGATTTGGGACTGCCATTTTTTTTTCGTAAAATTTGGGACTGGCAATTTTTGGAACTGAAGATATGGGACTGCCATTTTTTGTTTTTGAGATTTGGGACTGCCATTTTTAGTTCGTAAGATTTGGGACTGCCATTTTTAGTTCGTAAGATTTGGGACTGCCAATTTTTAGTTCGTAAGATTTGGGACTGCCAATTTTTAGTTCGTAAGATTTGGGACTGCCAATTTTGATATTGGTAATTTTGGGAAATTTTTAGTTCGTAAGATTTGGGACTGACAATTTTTAGTTCGTAAGATTTGGGACTACTTTAAAAAAAGTTCAATCAGGTTTAAAAAAAAATCAAGAGCTTACTCCAGTTGCTTAATAATTAATATTTTCAGGTCTGGTTCCAAAACCGCCGGATGAAAGACAAAAGACAGCGAGTTGGGGGCCTAGCCTGGCCATTTCCACCACAACTGGCCTACATGTTGAACCCATTCGCCTACGAGATGTGGATGAACCGGGCTGGTAATTATCCCGCACCGAGGTTAGTTTTAATTTTTTTAAACGGTAATATAAAAAAATTTGGTAAAGAGGGAAGTCGGAAAAAAATCAGAAAAAAATTTATCTAATCAACTTTCCAACTTTTTTTCAATTGATACGAATTTCCTTTTTTTATTTTGATAATTGTAACCTAGAAGAGCATGAGCCTTTAAGTTGACATAATAAATCACCTTTCAGTCCTCTTTCCATCGCTCAAACGGCTTCATCGGACTCGCTGCCGACGCCGTTCGCGCTGGCCAACCAGCTGCTGACGTCATCGCCGCTTCTGATTCCGTCCGTGACGTCATCGACGTCTTCAGAAGCGAAAGATGTCGAAGAGGCCCCGCTTAACTTGAATTTCTCCTCCTCGAGCAACTCCTCTGGAGACTCACCCACACGTCAAGTTACGACTCCATCGAGTGAATTAGTGGTCACTTTAGTGAACAAAGAGACCATTTGACTTTATTTCCCTTCTGAAATGGAATCTTGACCTTTTTCTTGTCTCATCTAGTGATTGATCAGAAGCTGAAAAAGTGGTCACCTCAGTGAAAAAAAGGAGCGGCCACTTGAGTACTATTCTTCCTATTTGAATTGTGATCTTCGATTTTTTTTTGTTTTTTTAGAATCTTTCCTCACATTAGTGATCTTGACCGACGTTTAAGGTAGTGGCCTCTTAAGGGCCTTCGAAAGTTATCCCTTAAGTGGTATTATTTCTTGATAAAACTCTTTCTGTTTCAAGTGACCATTTAAGAGAAATTATCCGCTTTGAGAATTGTTTATATGAACTTTAATTTGAAAAAATTCTGCTGTAGTCAATTTATCAAAATCTTGATGAAGTGGTCACTTTAGAGTTTTTGGTTCCTCATTTTTTTTTCATACCACTTGCCATAATTCTCGCGCTTACTACGGTGACGATATGATATAATTCGAATATTTTCTTTTGAATAAAATATGAAAGTTTGAAGTTTTACATGAAAAAAGAGAAAAAGTCATTGTTGAATTTCAAAATACTTTATTTACAACCGCAAATTTACACACGAAATAATTAGAGGCAGGCAAGGCATTTCTGTCAATCAAAAAAAAAAAATCAGTCAACAAGAAAATTGGAAGAAAACTGATATACTTCGTTCGCCAAGATTTAAAAATTGATGGTCGCATGGAGAATGGCTTCAAAAGAGCTTCGTCCGACTTTGAAACGACTTTTTGGCTTGTTGACTTCCATCGCAAGGCAGCCATTCCAAACGCGGCCAGAATCAACTTCAAGAGGCTGCTCCGGACTTTGAAACGGCTTACGCTCGAAACAGGAGAAGAAAGGTAGATGAGAGCTAAAAATAGTAGTTTGAACGGTGTCGCAGCGCAACCGAGACGCTCTCAGCCATTCTAAACGCAGTCAGGAACTTTCAAATCAAAGCGAGCGAAGTTGAACAAAGGTACAAAGATATCACAAATTGCTCAAGTCATTATTATTGGAACTCTTGTTGTTGTTGTTGGTCGGTTTGAGGAGGAGTTTGCTGTGTTCTTGGACGCTCAACCTTTGTCGACACTCTGTTCCAAGGGCTCGTTTTTCCTGGAAAAATGGAATTTAGACAGGCTTTCCAAGCACATTGGTCGCATTTGGAATGACTCGGCTGGAAAACACTTCCAGCGGGACGAGCCATTCCAAGTGCGTCCAAAAACGGTTTTCTCACCTTCTGCGAGTCCCACCACTTGCAGGTGCTGTCGATCACGTTTCGGTTCGTATAACAGACGATCAGGGCGACAAAAAGACCCTGAAACGGAGAATTTTGATACCCATAATAATTTTTGAGATTCGCTAGATTTTCCCCCTTTGGAACAGGAAAAAGACTTTTTTAGACATTAAAAAGAATTTCTGGACTGAAAAATTTTTTGAAAGACTTTTCTAATGCTTCCCTTCCATTAGGGTCCCGCAAATCTATATTCTCAGAAGAAGAATTTTTATTTTTCCACTAGAAGTCCAAGTTGAAAACTCGGTTCCCCCTCATTTTCTGACAACTTACCTGAAGCCCATTCAAAGACTGATCGATCGCCTGATAAACCGTATTATTCAATCGATAAATCGTCAATAATTGCTGGATTCCGAAGACGGGGATCAGCATCAGCGCGCCACGAACAGCTTTTCTGAAAGAATTTTTTTATCAAAGAATTTATTGAAAAATCTAACGTCACTTTTCCATTACAAAAATTTTCGAAAAACCTCAAAGTTTTTGTTCAAAAAAATTTGTAAAGTAAAAGAACAATTCTTTTCTGATGAAAAATAAACCTAATTTTGCTAATTTTCAAGCTAATAACTTGAAAAAAATCTCAAAAAAAGCCCCGCAAAGGAAAAAAATGGAAGTTCCAAATATCTTTCATATGAAACTAGACACTTTCAACATTTTCAAAAAAAGGAAAATATCAAATCTATTTTCTTCTCTACACGCTCGTGTGTGTATAAATGTGTGAAAGGGGAGATGCTGAAATTTGAGATTTATCGAGAAAAAATGTTTTCAAAGATATTCTAGTCGTCAGGAATAATTCTGAAAGGAAAAAAATTGAAGATTATCCAGAAAAAAATATTTATGCTTCAGAAAAATTTCAAGATTTTTTTAGTTACATTTCCTAATTGAAAATCAAATAACTGACTTCAAACTCGATTCCAATAAATTTTCATCCTATTTTTTTTCTTTTGAAAATTTTTTTCAAAAAAACTCTAAAACGAACTGATATTGGATCCGTTCCAAATGCGGATCTCCGCGTAGCTTCTTCACGAGAATGAACATCACCAGCGTCAACAGCAACACGTTCACCTTAAAACTTATATGATCATCAGCTCCTTTCATCGTTTTTGAGTATAAAATGTCATTGAAATTCTATTTTAAACAAAATTATATGTAGAAATGGATAAAATTGGTTTAGATTACGCTACCCTTTTTCGGCATTTTTTTAAACTTAAAAACCTACCGTGATAGCCAACAGCGACGGCAAAATAATGCTCCATTCGACCCAAGCGACCGAAGAATTTTCCACCCAACACATGCCGATTTCATCGTATAATCCTCGGACGAACATGTAGAAAAAGGTGATGACCGCCGGGATGCCTGGAATAATATTTGAGATCAAATTCTGAAGTCTACCAAGACTAACTCTCCAAATCTTCAAAATCTTTCTATATTTTAAAGTCTCCAACATTCCTAAACACATTTTCAAGCTTTCGGTATTAATTCAGTGATGAAATTAAAGCAGAAAATGACCATTTATCGATAAAATCACGAAAAAACTAACCCCAACACAAAATTTTGTAGTAGGTCAAACTTTCTCCCTCAGAATGTTGAGCACTGTGCAGCAACCGGTACAAATAAACACCTGAAAAAATAAAAATAAATACATAAACAAAGAAAAGAAGAATTGTAAAATCGATCAATACTGCGATGGAGCGCACTTTGAGGATTAGTCTCCCATTTTTTTCCGTTTCTTGGGGAAGTTTCTTATTAGAAATTTTTTTCGAATTATACCGATTTTTTTTCGAAAAAAAGAATCAATTAACAAATATGAAGAAACGTATTCCAACTAGTCTTTTTTTCCAAAAATTAATTTCAAATCGGCCCATTTTTTTCAGATTTTATTTTTTTCTCTACCGATAACTTGAAACTTTTTAGAGTTATAGAGCAAATTTTAGTTGAACTCTTATTTTTGTTCTCAACCTACTAAAAAAAAAATTAAACCTTCAGCCAACATCCAAGAAAAGTTGGTTAATCGCAGGAATCTCAGCTGAGCCGAGAACAACAAGCGGCAAAAAATCTGTAATTTTTCACATATTTTTTTCCCGGATTTTTTTCGAATTACATGATTAGTGTAGATGAATCCAGATAGAGGAGCCGAATCGACGACAAACAAGCTGACGTTAACGAGGTATAAAATCCCATATAAAAGGAAGGAAATCAGTAGGTGCCGGTGTAGGACGAACATCGGCTGTTTGCGGATCCTTCTGGAAATTTGAAAAATAAAAAATATTTTTTTCAAACTCTTCTGTTAAAAATTCACTAATCTTCTGTCTTATAATAAGCTTTAGTTTGAAAAAAAGTCGTTTCTCTTTGAGTGACCACTTAAGAAGCGTAAGTGGTCCCCAGAATGAAGTATTTTTCTATTGAGGGATCACTTAAAGAGGCTACTCCGAATTTTCCTGCAAGTCTTAGGAAAACTGATTTCTTATTCAGACTCTATAATTATTCAAAAAAATATGTGAAAATATAAACTTTGAAAGAGAAATCTAACTTAATTCGTGCTCAAATTCGAAAACACAAGATGAAGTTCAATGGTGGATTCTATTCAACTTCTAACTTCATGGTAACAAGTTTAATTTCTCAAAACTCAAAAAAGCCTCTGAGGCCACGAAAACCCCCATTTTCCTAAAACAATCTCCAAACCTTAAAAAAACGACAAAAGAAGAACGGCGGGAAGCAAAACGATGACCGATATCAAGAATGTGATGATTCCAGTGATTAGTCGAACCCTGACGTCCTAAAAAATTATTCATCATTTTTTTATTCGAGAAAAGGCTCTCTCGCTATCAAAAACAGCCATTTCCTCCCGATTTTCTACACTTTCGACTAGATTTTTTTACATTACAATCAAAACTCACTTGACTAAAAGTACAGCCAGCGTAATCCGTGTATTCCCGATTGCTGAACTTCAACCAGCCCTCACTCGTACACGTTTTAATGAGGTCTGAAAAGGAAAATTATGAAAAAAGGAAGCGCATACTTAGTACATGCAAGTCATAACTTCAAATTTTCAAACATTTCTTTTCTGTTTCTGTCTTTTCTAATAACCACACAAGAAGTATTTTCAATTATTCGAGTATATCAATGTCCGAAAAAAATCAGTTCAGCGCGATTCAAAAAGCTACTAAAAATTACTCAAAACTATTTCATTTCAGCATGCTAAACTAATTTCCAATGTTTTAACTTATTCAAAAGCTTCTGCCGACCTTACTTAATAAAGTTTCTCTTCTGAATTTTGTAGTTTTATAAGAACCGCTCCGCGACCGCAACGCGTTGAGCCATTCTCTTCTATTACTTTTCGAAGACACTGACATCGAGGTTTCTCCTCGGCCTGCGGATAGATCCCGTAAATGTAGGGCGGACAAGATGCCGTTAGATTCGCAGGCGTCGCCGACGCCTCGAAGCAATTCCAGCCGTCCCATGTGGCATCACAGGTTGGTTCTTTTCGGTCCGGCGGTTGATTCGAATTTAGCGGGTCTGAAAATTATTACATTGTATGACATGTATGAGACCTTATGTTTTTCAGGACACTATTAGCCATTACTTCTTCAGTCTAACCTGTCTGCGCTCTACACTCTTTTACCGGTGAGGAAAGGGAAAAAAGGCTGAAAATTGGCAGTCCCAATTGTTACAAGCTAAAAATTGGCAGTCCCAAATTTTTCTAGCTCAAAATGGCAGTCCCAAAATGTTTCTAGCTGAAAATTGGCAGTCCCAAATTTTTCTAGCTTAAAATTGGCAGTCCCAAAAATTTTCAAGCTCAAAATGGCAGTCCCAAATTTTTCTAGCTAAAAATTGGCAGTCCCAAAATGTTTCTAGCTGAAAATTGGCAGTCCCAAATTTTTCTATTCAAAAATTGGCAGTCCCAAAATGTTTAAAGCTAAAAATTGGCAGTCCCAAATTTTCCTAGCTTGAAAGTTGGCAGTCCCGACTTTTCCGGAGCCTTTTCGACATTTTCACTCACCAAACTCCAAAGTCGTCGTTTTGAGCAAAGTTTTCCTGCAACATTGCTTGGCGGCAGCACAACACTCCCTCGTGACCAGGTCAAATTGCTCAGGTAATGGCGGGATCAGCTGCAGATTCGACAGTGGTGTGATCGCTGATCTGAAAAAGAAAATAACATTCGAAAAAAAAATGCGAGGTTATGGGGAAAAAAGAGGAATATTTATTCAGATTCAATTTGAAAATGGGCCACTTTTGGAATCTCCAGACCAAACTCCACATTTTTTCCCATTTTGCTCCAAACTTTTGATCTTCAAAATATTTTCCCATCCCTCTTCCAAATCACTGAAACAAAACGAAATTCGAAACTTCTTTCTTTTTTCGCTGCGTTTCCCCTGATTTTTAGCCATTTGGAAACAAGATCCGTTGCCGTTTCGCTTTCACGTATCCGTTTTGAGGAGGAGAAAAATAAAATAAAATTTTATACATTTCCAACATGAATTTCGACAGGAAGTGGTGGAAATCGACACGTTGAACTATTAAAATCCCGAAAAAAAAATGGAAATTCAGATGCATCTTTTTAGTTTCATTCTAAAGGCTTGAAAAAGGAGAAAGAAACACTTACTTGATTTTTTTACGAAGCATTATAAATTAAAAATTTTTCAGTTATTTAACTTATCTCCACTGAGACTTTTCGTTAGGTTCTCTAATTAATGATGGACAGAAAATCTTTGAAATTGACTTGAAACTCTCTGGAAAATGGCTCAAAGCGTCGCGGCTAATATAAGTCTTCGCGCGCAAGTTGTTTCAAGTCTGACGCAAGAGCATCACTTTTTTTTTTACCAATTCTGCTGGAAATTCGAGGGAGTTCTGAGAATCTTTTTCAGAAATCTTTTTTAAATATTTTAATTTTGCGCTTCAAGCCATTCCAAATGCCAGCGCGGAGTTTCAAGTCTGGTCAAACTTTTTGAAAAACTGTTTTTCAGTCTTTTCTCCATTTCATTCTATTTTTCATCATTATTTCCCGAATTTTTCTCAAAGTCCCTCTCATTTTGAACTCTGAAACATGTCACAATGTGTGTGTGTGTGTGCGTTAGAAGATCCGTTCGTGGGAAATGTATTTCTGGCGGACTTTTGCCCCCATGGTAATTCGAGAGCGCCTAGTGTTGCTCCACTTTAAGTTCTTCGTTTTTTTTTCCACTTCCGTTTCTTTCTTGGAGGATTGAAAAGAGCGGAAAATGAAGTGCGCAGGTCATCACAATCAGTGGGAAAAGCCTAGTAATGAAAAATTTTGAAAAATATTTAAAAAAAAAAATTCGAAAACTCAAGCGTTTTGCTACAAGCTTTTTGAAAAAAAGTCCATGATTTTCTTCCATTTTCGAAGTATAAAAGAAAAATTTTAGTCCAAATAGCCCTCAAAAAAGTCGGTAAACATGTTTCGATGTGTCCAAAAAAAAAATGTTAATTTGAATTCTTCTCAAAACGACATCTCAAATAACATGTGGCCAAAACTCTTTGGTGAAATGAGGGCTTATTGGAGACAAATTGAAAACTTTCCATTTATTCTTTTGTTAGAAAAAGTTCCCGTTAGCAAGGAAAGCAGCTCACAATCAAGCTGCACCCGACTTCAAAACGACATTCGCAACTTTTATCTTCGATATACTCCTCAAAATGGAACATGTAAATCTCATAGACCGCACTTTTCTAAATTAAGTTGAAGCTGTTGGAGTTCATTTCAAATCCTGAGAAAAGCCAAAAAAAATCCTTGAAAAAGCAAAACCTGCCATGCCAATCAATCATATCAGATCAGCGAAACTATTCGCTTTTTTTTCCAGAAACAAAGATCAGAGGTTGCAAAGTGATGAGGAAATTGAAGTGAGAGATCCGAAAAAAAACCTCAAAATTTTTTTTTTATCGGAGATCAAAAAATCAATATAAAAATTTCTCAATTTAGAATCTATATCCATTCGAAAAAAATACCACTGTAAAAACGCGGTAGGAACTGAAATTACTTTATTTTTTAAAATATGTAAAGTTCTCCTCTTTTTTTTCATTCAAATTTGATCTGATTAAAAAAATCCCTTCTCTCCAAAACTTTCATTTTTTTCTTTAATCAACTCTATTTCACTCTAAAAAGAGCCTTCCAACCTTTCTGTGATCGAAAAAAGTCTGATAAAAAAAGCACCCCAGAAAATTAACTTTCAATGATTTTTCACATTATTTTGTCATAACTTCCTACCTCTGATCCTTGAAATTTTCTATTTTCCTCATAAAATAAAACTTAACACTCAAAAGAGCCTCTCTAACCTCTCCCCTCCTCGAAATAAAAGAATGAATCAAAAACCACGTCCCTCAAACTTCAAAAGTCGAGATAACATTGTCGGCTTTTTAGCCCCTCTTTTCCCGCCGTCACTTCAAAAATTCTCTCAGAAAAACTTCGTCTAGGATTCGCCTAGGAATTCCTTAAAAAAAAAAAACGGAAAAAGCAAAAAAAAAGACACGTCTCGCGTTGAAAATTGAATTGAAAGCGATCTTTGTCTGAAACTACGGCAAAGTTCTGAAGTATTCTGTAGTTTTGGGCTTTGAAAATTCGTGTAAATGAAATATTTCACTCAACATTCCTATAATACAATTAAATAAAAAGTTTCCCGAGTCCGACAACTGTTTACGCAACATTTTTCATTTTTCAGAACATTTTTGAGTTTTTCTGCAGTACCTGACCGTGTTAAGGTTGAGAAAAAAGCTTTCAGAGTATTTAAATTTTCTTAAAAACAAGGAAAAAGCAATGGATCTCTGATAAAACTTCAAAAACAAACAATGCAAAATGTTTTCTCCCCGGCCGGGAATTGAACCCGGGTCTCGCATGTGACAGACGCGGATACTCACCACTATACTACCGAGGACACGACGGCCAAAGCGCCAACGCGCGACATAACACTTGGCATCTCCTCTCAATAAACATCCCAATGAATGCGGAAATTTTGAAAAATTATATTTATTTTTATTTTTCTTAGCGTATTTATTAAAAAAATACTTGCCGAGTTATAAAATCTTGAAAAAACCGATTTTTTTTTAAATTTCAAAGTAAAAAAGGTTCCCTCAATCAGCCTTTTATTTTTCTTTTTCATGCTTCAAAAAAGTTGAAAATGTTGCGAAAACCCTTTTTTCTGGCTGAGAAAATGTGAACCAGAAGGACATCTGCTTGCAAAATATGTGTAACAATATTCGGCCTTTCCGTCAAAGTTTTTTTTTAAACAAGCGAGAAAAAATTATGAAGCTTCACCGCAGATCAATTGTCTAAAGATGCGGGAAAAAAAGAAGGAAAAATAGCTGAAAAATTTAAAAAAACTACAATTTTTAAGATAGAAACAGTTATAGACTTCAAAAAAATTGAATATTTATGATTGAAAGAACCAGATTCAAAGGGAATTTTGTATGAAATCAAATTTGAAAAATGAAAAAAAATCCCTCAAATGTCTTCCTCCAAGAGCAATCGGACCACACAAGGAGCAAGAAAACTTCTTTTTTTTCTTCTTTTTTTTTAGTCTCTTCAATTTCTCGCCCCAAAGATTCATCCATCTCATTTCAGGAAGAGACGACGAAGAATTTGAAGAATTGGAAACCCCTTTTTTCCAACTTTTTCAACTACAAAAAAGGCAGGGTCTTCGGATTCACTGGGGATTTCGACGGAAATTTGTTTGAAATGGAGAAAAAGTAGAGCTTTTTGACGGTTTTCTCAGTAGCCTTTGGGATCAAAGAAATTGTGGAAAAGTAATTTTTGAACTTCAAGCCAATGAAAGCATGATCAGTTTTCAATAGTTTTAAATTTCTATCAAAAAATTTTAAGACGCGTTGCGGTCGCGTTACGCTCAGTCTAAAAATAGACTCTAGTTTAAAGTCAAAACTTTAATTTTTGGGAATTTTCTGAGCTACCGTGGATCAGAACTATGAGATCAAATTTGGACTTGAACTTTTGAATATTAATGGAGACTCTCTGAGACGCGCTGCGGCCGTGTCGCGGTCCACTTTAATCAAAATTTCCCATTTTCATCCAAATTCTCTTCATTTTTCTCAATCTTTGCCCCTTTTCTCAAAGTTCTGCAAAAGTACGATGTAGGAAGAGAAAATCGTCTTTTTTTTCCCTCAAAAGCGGCCAAAAAGCACGAGGCCGTGTGCAGATTCTGAAGAACCGCTGAAACAATGGCGAAATTTCGTTTCCGGGGCCGGATGTGATGAAGTTTCTTTTTTCTTTTTTTTTTCTGATCCATTTGCCAGGGTTCTTTGTAATAAGGGATTGAGGAGAGGAGTGCAAAAAAAGCTAGAGATCTATTTTTTTACCTTTAAAAAAATATAGAAAACATAAAAAGGATAAATTACTTTAAAAAAAGTTTTAAAAACTTGAGAGAAAAATTTGGAATAAGAGTTAGAAAAATTAATTGTTTTCTATAGTCTACTCAAAGATATTTTTTGAGAGAAACAATAAAATATAGTCTAGTTCTAACTGACCGCGACGGGACCGCGACGCATCCAATGATATATTTAAAAGTTTGAGACTCGATTCTAACTATATTCTAGTTTGATTTCCCGATCGTCACTTACGGAACAGTTTCAATAAAGTTAGTTAAAGCCGTATAAAATCGATTTCGTCCAAAGCTGACCGCGACGCAACCGCAGCGCATCCAAGAAAAATGTTTATAAATTTGAACTTCCATTCTAACTATATTCTAGTTTGAGTTCCCGATCTTAACGTACGGAACAGTTTCAAAAACGTTATAAAAAGCTCGGCAAAATAAATTCTGTTCAAAGCTGACCGCGACGCGACCGCAACGCATCCAAAAAAAGCAACTCCTATTTTCCCTATATTCTAGTTGAGTTAAACGCAATCGTAACATAATGAGCAACTGGAAAAAATTTATGAATTTCTCTCCTTATTTCAGTCTACTCAAAGCTGACCGCGACACGACCGCAACGCCTCGAGAGACCCCTCAAAAACCAGATGAATCACTCTCTCCCAAAAATGGAAAAGGTTTCTCGAGGGACACGTCACGAGTGCTTTGCAGAAAACGCGCGACAAGACATTTTTCGAAGGAAACATTTCCGGTCGTTTCCCATTGAACAGAGAAAGAGTTCATGGATATACGCGCCTCCGCAAAATTTTCGATTGATTTTACATTTGAAGCGGAAAGGAAAACAATTTTTTCGTTTGTTTTGTTGATTTTTGGTTTGGTGTGAAGAAATTTTCGATCGGTGTAACTTTTGCGCTCCAGGGCTAATTTTGGAGAATGGATTCCGGTTAGTAAAATGATTCATAGTGCGTTAAGAAAATCAGCTTCAGAGAAAGTTAAAAATTAGCTGGTTTCCATGAAAAAGCGCTCCACTGCCAAAATTCCCATTATTTTTATTTTCAATTGCTTAATTCATAGTCCAAGGTCCACAACAGTTAAGCTCAAAAAAAGTCTCCAAAAAGCTGAAAAATTAGCCGCTCTACATGAAGCTTATGCGCTCCATGGCTAATTTGAATTTTGAGCGATTTATGACTTTTCAGCTTCAATTTTGAATCATTTCTCAAAAACCTTTCTATTTTTAATGCAAAAATTCAAATTTCCTAAATGTGGAACTAATCTCCAAAAAAATGATCTCGAAAAATATTTCAACAGGGGAATGAGAAATCATTTTCCAAGAAGAAGATCAACTTTCAAATGATAATTTTTTTTTTCCATTTTGAAATGCATTTTTTTTTAGTTTTTACCCCAATGTACCATGAAAACTTCAGGCTGTTTTTGTAAACAAGCCATTTTTTCATTTTGATGAGTACCCTATTTTTATTATTGACGGAAGCCCGGTTTTATTGGTTTTCTCATTCAAAATATTGAATAATTTGGATTTTCTGTGAAAATTTGAGATTGGACCATTTCCATAATTGATATTTTTGAGTCGAAATCGCTCATTCGAAATTCCAAAAAAGCAAAAAAGTCATAATTTCCATTTCGATATGGCAGAATAATATCCAAGTTTGGTAAGATGTTCGAAAAAGAGAAACGAAAAATTGGGGGAAAAAAAGATTATATGGGCCTCAATTCATCACTCATTTTATGTGACACAAAGGATCATTTTTCCCCATTTTTTTTTGATTTGGATTTATTATTTTCAAACGGAGGGCTTGAGAAATTCTCGAGAATCCTTTGGTTTCGAATAAAGATAGTTTTTCTGAGCTCTCAAGGCTACAGAAGGCTTCAAAATTCCTTATAAATTCTTGATTTTCAAGAAATTTTCAGAGCCGCAACGCGACCGCAGCGCGTTCAGTGGTATTAAAAAACCTATAGAACTCTTCTTTTGATGAGCTATTCCATATGAAACTCACTGGAGACTGAAATTTTCCTATTTCACTTTTTTTCTGCTCAGTTCAAAATCCTTTCTCCTACTTTGTCAGTACCATAAAAAATTGGGAAAACTGACCTATTCAGGGCGAAATCGGGAACATTGAAGACGTATCGGGGATTGTCACAATTACATTCGTCATCGATCCCAGCAGGACAAACGAGGACTCCTCGTGAGTCGCAGATCTGCGTCCGATATCTAGAAAATTCCAAAAATCAAAAATCCCACGTCTTCCCTGTATGAGACTCAATCCTTGCGAAATTTTCAAAGCTGCGGTTTTTTTTCTGCGACTCATCATAGCTCATCATAACGACCCAACTCATCTTAGCGTTAAAAATAACCAACGACTCTGGAAAGTTCCGGAAATAATGAACTCCAAAAAAAGAAATTCTTTATCAAAAAACCGTTTTTACGGCGGAACTGTAGGTACAATATACTTTCAAGCTTATTCAACTAGAAAACTTGTACAAATTTATTCGAAAAATTCTGATCCTTTATTTCTTCTATAAACACTTTTCGAAACTTCAATTGAAAAAAAGCTTCTCAAGAAACTAAAAAAAAAAATTTTTCATCTATTTTTTTATCTGGTTTATCGATACTTCTCCCTTTTTGATTCTTCGAGTACTAGAAGTTTTAAAAAAACGAACACTAAATAAGGGTCTGTCAGAAGGTAGATAAAATAGAAGCAGGCGGCGCAGGACAACGAGTCGAACTCGGCTGGCGCGAAATCGCCGAAATTTGAAATTCGGCACGATGCTGATGACGTCACGCCGACCAGCGGCTCCAGTGACGTCATGATTTATCTGTAAATGATGGAATTCCTTTTGAGAAGAGGTTGAGAAAATCGGTTCAATGTTTCACGATAATTTTTTTTTTCTGAATAGCTGAAAATTTAAAGGCGCAGGGGCGGAGTCTCAGAGAAGTTTTTTTCGCTTACAAAATTCTGTAAAATCTGTCATGAAAACAGACAGTTTAACATATATTTAAGGTCCTATTTCTCAATTTTCAGCATTTTCTCTGAAAGTTTGAGAAAGATTCTAAAGGGGCGAGGGGAAGTCAAAAATGTTTTTTTGAAATTTTCAAGTTCCTCTCTGCGCCTTTAAATGAATTTTCAGAGCGTTCATGAGTAAACTTGAAATTAGAAAAAAATATGGAAAAATTTGCGGTTTTCAAGGGTCTAAGAAAACACCTCAATAAACTCTCTCAAGAAATTTTACAAGCTTCATGCTGCGCCTTTAAATTCTTAAATATGTCCGTGTAAAAACCAAAAATTCAAACCTACCAAAGTCAATAGAACCACTAAAAAGCAAGTGTAATGGCTAAAAATCAAAGAAAAAAGAAAAATCAATGATCAAATCTAGTAGAATAAATAAATATTCCAGTGCCGCTAAGCAAACTCAGTTCTGGAAACTGTTTTGAGGGGGAGAGGGCCAAAAAAAAATCTTTTTTTTTGGAAGGCGCAAACAAAGGAGAAAATTTATGATGGTCTGTGAATAAAAAATCTGTTTGGAAAAGATAAAAATAGAACTGAAACTATTTTTTCTCAATGGTCTTTGAGGACGTAACAATAAACGTCTGGGAAACATTGAAAAAGGACAAAAAAATGACGATAAAAATGACGCAATAAAAAAGGAGACTGTTCCACGTGATATTGCTCATGATTGCTGGAAATTTAGAGGACTTTCTCATGTAAAACTTATCTATTTACTCAAAAAATCGTGGTGAAACGTCGTATGACTTCGTCGGAAGCATCTTTCTGATAACGTCTCAGAAGAAAATTAACAATTCAACAAAAATCTGAAAATTGTTGCATAACTTGTTCAAAGATCTATGTTTTTTTCTTCATCCAAAAAAGCCCAAAAAAAATTTTTTTTCAACAACCAGGAAAAAAAAAGGTTTTTATACGATTCAAGCCAAATTGGGACCAATCTTCGTGACGTCGAGAAAAAAATTGAACCAATTCCGAGGAAAAAAAATGTTGCCATTTGCACTTTTTCTAGTCGGCAGTACTGTAGTCAACAAAAGGGCATGAAAATTTTAGAATTATTACCAATATGGGCAAACAGTAAGCGCAAGAAGAATTTTAAAAACTAAAAAAAAACTTCAAAGTTGTGAAAAAAATTCGAAACTAGAAGAACCGAAATTCTACGAGTTGACCCATTTCTCAAACGCGAAAAGAAGATTTAAATTCTCAAAAAATAGAGTGAAACTGGAAATAAAGCACCTAAATGTTATTAAATCAAAACAAATACACTGGTCAATCTGGCTTTCGATACAAGTAGGTACCGGGTAGTAACTAAGAACCAATCGGCGTTAGGTAATCGGTGGTCATTTGTATGCGACCGGGTACTATCTCTATGGTGCCTGGATACTACCGGAGAGGGGTCGCAACTGCTACCGTGTAGGATCTCTGATGATGTTTTCCGGTACCATGAAAGTAGCTTATAAGGGTACCGGTGCCTACTCGCATCGACTTCCCTATTCGCCTTGACACATTTCGAAGAATACTTAACACTTCACGAGAATATTTCTTCATTTTCAAATAGAGAAGAAACGTAGTTTCAACAAGTTCTCTTTGAATAAATGAACGTCGAGAAATAAATTTATTTCGAACTTGAACTGAACGGAAAAGAAGCTGAGTTGATCTTTTTTTCGTTAGCAATCTGGAACCATTCTTGACCATCAAATTTTGTTTGAGAAAAGTCGAAAATTGTTTATTTTTCCTGAGGATGAGAAAATTTCATTCGCCACGGATTAGAATGAATCTGACTCGTCTGCGCCCTCTTTTTTCTCTCCGCAAGGTCACAATACTGGAAATTGGCAGTCCCAAATCTAGCGAACTAAAAATTGGCAGTCCCAAATCTAGCGAACTAAAAATTGGCAGTCCCAAATCTTACGAACTAAAAATTGGCAGTCCCAAATCTAGCGAACTAAAAATTGGCAGTCCCAAATCATACGAACTAAAAATTGGCAGTCCCAAATCTTACGAACTAAAAAGTGGCAGTCCCAAATCTTACGAGCTGAAAATTGGCAGTCCCAAACATTTCAAGCTAAAAATTGGCAGTCCCAAATCTCGAGCACTAGAAAATTGGCAGTCCCAAACTGTTCAGATACAACTTATTTTAATCATGGAAAAACATTGATTTCTTGATACTTACTCGTTTATTATCAAAAAAAAAAACGTTTCCATTCTAATTCCAAGAAAAATCCCCACAATCTCAGAGAGGAACGAAAAATACAGCCTAAAGCAATAATACAATTTGTTATTCGTTTCCATGTATATTGAAAGTTGTTTTTGAGAGGGGAAGAAATGATGAGAAGAAAATGCCGAAGAAAAAAAGAGGAAGATTGGTTTTTCAACAACAATTTTTTTCTCATATTTTCTTAATTAAACATCTTTTGCCTGTTTAGTTAATAAAGTAATTGGATTTCATGTTAAAGGTCAGTAGAAATTTTGTTTTTTTAATCAAGTCTTAACGTGGTAAAGGTGATAGGCCTGGTGAATAACAAATTCCTTTCCGCCCAGGTTGATTTTTTGTGGTCGCATGTGGAATGGCTTGATTAGAACGATACGAAAAAAATTTCGCCGTTTTGCCTCAAGCTGTTGAATGTAAAAAGTTTACTTTCAAATTTAATTTTGTCAAAATCGAGAACCAAACTAAAAACCCTTTCCTAGACCTTTCAACCAATAATAATGACCAGAAATCTTTTAAAAAAAGCTTTTTTTGGATTACAAAGAAAAAGCTGCCGAATTAATAATTAACAAAAAGTCGGCCAGAAGCTCAACTCGACCACAAAAAGAAGAGAAAAAAAGGGGGAAAAAAAGTTGATCAGCTGAGGACCGCTTAAAAGTGGTTTTAAGGGAGCAGAGGAAATAAATAAATTATAACGAAGCTTGTTTCTTCAAAAGGTTTGAACAACCGAAAAAAGAAACATTTCGTCGCCTGGTGAGAAAAAAACTTGAAAAGAACACAAGGTCTAAATTTGGAAATTTTCGAGAGAAGCTTTGAAAATATCTAGAAAATCGAGGAAAACAAAATATTGAATATCGGCAAAAACATGTTTCGATTCGATTAAAAATAGAGTATTTTCAATTAAATGAAATGAAAACAGTTTCAAAAGATTATAATAGACGAAAAAAACTGTCTATTAAGATTTTCAGAATGCTCTACGTACTTTTTTGAAACGTTCTCGTGTAAATTTCCCACAAAATAATGATTTTGGCAATAGAAAAAAGCAGTTTATGAAGTAAAACTGTAGTAAAACTATAAAATGACGCGAAATAAAGCCGTGAAAAATATTTTGCCATGTGAAATTTTTGATACAAAACTTGATTTAACGGCGTAGATTTTTCAAACTGGGAGATGAAAGTTAAATTTTTGGATTGAGGTTTAAATTTTGCAAAAGACAACGCTTGGGAATTTAGAAAACTTGAAAAATAAAATACTTCTATTTTTCAAGAATAGCTTTTTGGCCTAGTCATTTTCGGTCTTGAAAGTGATATAACTTCTTTCGTATTGCGAATTTCTCGATGAAAGTCATGTTTTTGAACTCAGCGAAGAATTCTGAACAAGAAACTACTTTGCTCTTTTCGAAAAAAAAAATCAAAAATAAAAATTACTTAACTTTCAAAAAAAAGACTCATTGGACGAGCCAGTGAAACTTCCTGATTCCTTAGGTTTTTCGGACAAATTTTTGTTAGAAATATTCTACAGTGAGCATACAGTAAGCTGAGATCTTTCGTTGGTCAGAATCAACTTTTTGGCATCACTCATTTACAAAAAAAAATTGCAAATTCTGAAAGAATAGGCTCCCGGACCGGTCTGTCATCTCAATAATTCTCTAGAAAACGAAATTTCCAAAAAAAAACCTAACTTCATTGGCGATTCACAAGTTCGCGACTAAATTCGATTGAGCTCTTCGGACACCTTGTAGGAAAGTGTGAAGTTTTTTTCTTGACACTTTGAAGGAACCTTTTTTTTAAACATTTGATTGATCCCATCCTTTCATTTTACACGTGCAAACTGTACCACTACTGCTCAAAATCGGAGGCGACCGAAAAAAAAAGTTTTATTACTTCAAAACTTCCACTGATGTTCATTATCAAACTCCATTTTTCCTAAGTTCTTCTCCCCAATTTTCCTTATTTTTTCGATAAAACCAGTCTAGACTCTAGACTTATCCAAGCATGTGAGATGCTCGCTAAACTGATTGAATTAGCCAAAAAAATTCCTTCTCAAAAAAATATATTGAATTCCTGAATCAAGGAGACAGCTTCTTCTGTTTTCAAACAACCCAAAAAAAAATACTAAATAAGTTCCTCTTTTCTAGTTTTTCGAGAGTTTTGAAAAGGCTATAACTTCCAAATTTGAGTCAGAAAAAAAAAAACGAAACTTCAAGACGTCTTTCAGAACCATAAAAAGTTGATGAGAACAAACTAAAATTTTCAAAAATGGTCAGGAATCCAGGGTTCATTCATGAGAAGCACAAAAGTTTAAAGGCGCAGAGAGGGATAACCCAAAAAACTTTTAACACGAAAGGAATTAATCATGAATACACTATAGCTTCTAGCAAAGTTTCCAAATCACTTTTTTTTTCGAAAACGGTACCAAAAATAGCATAATTTCTGGCCCGAAATTCAAAAAACGGACAAAAAATTTAAAGGCGCATAGGAAGAGAACAGAAAAAACTTCCAACACGAAAATCTCAGGAACTACTCATGAATAAACTATAGCTTCTAGCAAGGTTCCCAAGACATTTCTCTTGAAACAGTACCAAAAATAGCTCAATTTTCGG